TCTGAAGTTTTCATGGGCCAATCACCTGATTATGGTTTTAAAAGTTAAAAATATTTGCAAAATTTCTACGAAACTGTTGAACAGCGGAGCTTCACCTGCAAAAACACACAACCTTACCAAGCATTTTTGTCTAGTTTATTAGTACAGTTTAATTAAGACACAATTAACTCAAAAGTAACTAATCAGCAAGATAAAGAAGCTTGTTTTAAGTAAATAATTTTTTAATATTGATAATAAAGTACCAGTTCCATTGGCAGATTATTTCACTTGTAACATGGGGGAATTTTTGTCTTCTTATAAGTTAAATAATCTGCCAATAGAATTAATAATTTTTCATCAATAATAAGGAATTATTTACATAAAACAAACTTCTATCTCTTGCTGAAAAGTTACTTGTAACTTGGTGTCGTTTTATTTCAAGTATATATAAATATGTGCACTAGAAATTAGACTAAAAATACTTGATAAGATCTTGCAGTGCTTCACCATTTGCTGTGTACTGCTGGTCAGCTGGCTGAGTGTAGTAGCTAAATGAAAGCTACTAAATTTATACCTGGGAAACATAAAGAAATAAAATCAAACACAAAGTTTTTGGCTGTGATTTTTGTAGCTCCTGCTTAAAGACAGGCATAAGAAGTGCTTTTATAATTTAAGATAATGTTAAGTAATCAAAAACTCACAACTACTACAGTAAACTCAGACTTTCCCTCAGAATATTATAAGCCTGGCGGGCCACCAGGCTTTACTGGTGCCTCCTCCAGGCTTAGTATTGTTTATTTATTTTAGTTTTTTTTTTTAATTGCCTTTTTTAAGACTTTATAATTGGTGTTTAGGTAATATCCCAGTCTTCCAATAACACAAAGCTATCAGGTGATATTTTCAAATTTCCTGTCATCTTTAAACATTTTTTAACTGAAAAACATGGCGGCCGTCTGCCTTAGCGCCCTGAGCTCTGGGCTTAGCAAGTTTTCTGGGGGAAACCCTGAAACTTTTGCAGTCCTCTTTAAGCCAGTTGACCAGCAGTGCTTAGCAATGTGTTAATCTATGCTTCACACACCTGGAGAAAACTCCGCTCACTCCAGCACTTTCTCTTGAACCTCAATGAAATGACGTGAAGCCATATCAAAATGATTTAAAATTTTAGATCTGAAACAGTTTTCTTCAGGAGGGGCAGGAAAACTGCACAGGCAGAACTTTTTAAAAGTCTGGTACTGATAATCGGATCATGCCTGGTGGAAATCTATTGCCAACAGAAGAAAATATGGATAGAAATGTAGCAGAAATACAGAAAAAGATACTGCGACTATGTTTAGGTGGGTTTATTAAAAACACACAAGCTGCTCAGTTTATATAATCCACACTTTTGTCTTCATTCCCCTCTGTTAATGTTTGCTCATGTCACAGGACAGCTGTGTTATCAGCGCGTTAGCCTGCACTGATAATACTGATTTTACTTACAATACAGCACACTCTTCAGGATTTCAACACTCAGAAGAGCGCAGTGTTTACAGGGCTGTAAAAAGGAAGTAATAAAAGACCTGAAACGTTTACGACGCCAGGATTTTTACATGATGTCACTTTGATGCCAGGATTCAGACTTAAATACGCCCAATCTGCTTTTTTTTTTTTTTTAATATTTTGTTTGGTTGGTGGTTTTATATTTATCCGGCTGCGGCACTGACTCGGAGCGGCGGAGACAAACACAGGCTGGGGATTGTTTCAGCTCCACCTTACAGATTCATGTGACTTTCCAAGCATCACCTGACTTCCACTCTCCTGTTCCACAGGCAGGAAAAGCATCGATGCGAAGTTAAAAATATAAAAATCTGTCAGAGAAGACCGAGACGTATGCAACAGGATTGCTGAAACACAGGCTAACAGATGTGCCTTTGGCCGAACCCTTGGAGATAAAAGAGGAGCCAACTTTAAAGATAAGAGGGGACAACTTCCAACGGGCAGCGCTCCTTCAGACGGCACCTGATAAAGATGTGAAAAGCAGCTAAAAATAAATCCATCTTTTTATTGCAGCAGAATTATCTCTAGATAAATCCAACCTTTAATTTCAAGACATTTATTCCATGAGGGGGGAAAAAATATGCTGGTATTCGCAGTTCAGTAGTATTTGCGTATTTATCTGTGGAATATAGCATTAGATTATTCGTGGATTAAAAAAATATTCAATATTCAGAAGAAAAAGCGGTTTGAATATCTGAGTGCAATGCTGCTACTTGACACGCTATCGGCAAAGCAGCAAATCTAGGAGTTTCCGCTGATTGGCTGCAATCTTTATCTCCTCAGGAGCAGCGATAGAGAAACTGTAGATATTAGCTTCTGCAGTAGTGCTATGACAGTTTACACTGTACACATTAATGAATGTTAAGGTGCATACCAATTAAAATAGGAAGTTATTAGTTTTTACAAGGAGTCATGAGTATTAATGGGATTCAGATACTCATGCCGGCTGTGGTCTGTATATTTGAAACAGAAACAGGCCCACAGTATCATAAATCCTCCACCATACAGGTGATTTTCCACATATTCTTCAATTGTTAGGGTTGTCCCAATCCAATATCAGCCAAAAAATGAGTCAAATTAGCAAGCATCTAAAATGTACAATGTTAGCAGGCCGTTAGAAACACTCGGCTCCAGGATTTAGTCCAGTCCAACATTTAGTCCACTCCAGCATTTCTCTGTAGCCCCCAGATCCGTTGGTTAATAACAAATGGATCAGTTGTTCTCATACCTTTTGTTGTGGATTTTTGTTCTCTGTTTGACTAATATCTCCAGCATTTCCCACTAAAATAAGTTGTAAAAGTTCAAATGATTTATGCTTATAACGCATCATGTCAATATCGGTGTCAGCCGATGCAATATCGGTATTGTATCAGAACTAAAGCGGTTGTATCAGGATATCCCTATCAATTGTTTCATGGACCCACATGTTGTGTTTGTTGCAAAAAAGCTCATTCTTAGCTACAGAACTGTTTTTAAAAATCCACTTGTTTACGTGTTTGAATGCAGGACCAAAAATGTCAATGAAGACTTTGTGTGACCCAACCAGGGTTCACCAACTCAAATCTAAGACTTTTTAAGACCACGATGAATTGAATTTAAGACCTATATCTCCACAGAAATGTACAGACTTCATCCCTGCCAACTGGCAATAAATTTCCCATGATAAGTGCAAAAAAGCAAGCAAGCTAGCTAGTAAGGTAATATTAGCAGCTAGTTAGCGGTAGCCTAACCCATTTTGAGTCACAGGAATGCAATGAAGAGGTCAGAGTGCGATTCAAACTTTTGCCCAACAGAAAATACATGAGAATCAATAGTCCTGTCAAGACTAAATACAAGACTAAGGAATAACATATGAATAACGTATGACCTTTTCAAAGAATTTAAGACGTTTTAAGGCCTTAATTTTTGATACATGAATTCAAGAACGTTTTAAAGACGCGCGGACGTCCTGCCAACAGTGAGGTTTTTTTTTTTTTTTTACCTCTCACAGTTATTGCACTGACTATAAGATTTAAGTCACATGTGTTGAACTCAAGGCCCAGGGGCCAAATCCGGCCCGGGGGCCAAATCCGGCCCGCCATATCTTTAATGTGGCCCTCTAGATTCTTGACAAAACACCAAGCGTGTTTAAATATTATGTTATCAATCAAATCAAAACAGTTTTTATCCATTTACTGATAAATTATATCCATCAGTCCCTCCAGTTTCTTGAGAGTTATCATGGAAAATCACACAAAATAAAAATAAAAAAAACGCATAATTTGAACTTTCTTACTTTTACTAAACAGCTGCCTCAGCCTTAATTGATGTCAGATTATTGTCCACGATCTAAACAGCGAGGAATAAAAAGTCGCATTTACCGTCATAAATAAGCACAAAGATTTCCAAATGTTCAATAATATTATTTAAATTTAAGAATTGATTGATATTTTAACAGTTTGTGATCAGGTTTTATCAATACATCCTGGCACAACCGGCCCTTTAAGTGCATTCGTGATCTTGGTTTGGTCCAAAACAAAAATGAGTTTGACTCGCCTGATTTAGGTAGTAGATGTTTTCTGATTTGTAAACATCAAACTGCATCTCTTCTCTTGTTGCTCATGGAAATGTCACTTACATGACTAGTTCCTGTTAATGTTGGTCCACTTAGATAGTATATTTACATTTTCAGTTCAAATAAATTTTATTTTAAAGGATTGAGTCGCCTGAGGACTCTAAACGTTGGATTTTCCCACATTGAATACAGACTGAACTTTTCTACCAGCTTCAGAGGGAAATTAAAGCACTGCAATAAAAGATCAATTCATTTTGCACATCTTTACCACAGGGGTGTCATTGCATGTGGTCGCCGACGTAAACCTGCTGTTATTTACATGTGAAGCAAGAGGGGAAGCAGAAGGAGAGTACTGTAATCGGCGAGTCGCTTTGCATGTCCAAACTTCCTTTTACAGGCAACAGAGGAGGCCCTCTGCTGTGTCCAAGGTACTGGATGAGCCTTCCAAACAATCCGGGGCACCATGGAAAGACTCACCAGGAGCTGCACCTTGCAGCTCTCAGCATTTCCCAGCAGCACAAGCGTCCTGTGTAAAGGAAAGCCCGCTGCTCCGAGCGAAACCCCGACCCGCGCTGCTTCTGAGGCTGCTGTTGAATCAATACAATGGCTCCAAAGAGGTCCGACACTGGCCACATTTCAGCGCAGGTCAGACCCGGCTTTGCATATCGCCATGGAGACATGTCAAACACGCTGACGTGAGGAGATATATGTATGATTTTCCAAAGGCCGACTACAATCGCGGCTCGGCTCACCACACCCAGAGCAAACATATCTCAGCCGTGTTCACGTCATGACCGACACCAGAACCCACGCACACGCCGCCGTGGCTTCCAACAACACACAGCCAGAACCAGACAACCCAAACCCAGCAGGCTGATCCCGATCCCTATTAGTGGCCCTTGTAACGGCGGTGCGTTCGCTGGACTCTTACTATTGTGCGCAGTCGATGAGCTGGTATTCGTTGGATCTCTCGAAGCATGCCTTCACTCCTTCGTCGTCCCACAGCTTCTTTGCGTGATCGAAGAACTCCTGCAGAAAAAAGACAGAGGAAAGTTTTACTCCAGTTTATCATAACATTTAAAAACTCTGTTAAAGTCAGCTGGTGCTCAAAAGACCAAAGGAAAATAATACCACGTGTTTCCAGATGACTTCTAGAAACAAAATAAAGTATATAAACAAAATGTATTTACTGTGCCTCGTTTTACTGCCAGTATAATTACACTTCCACAGCAGTTATTTGATTTAAATGTATGTTTAATTTTACTTGTATTTCTTCATCTAATCATTTATTTTTTAAAATAATCTAGTTATATTTCAATTTAGTTCTATTCATTTTTATGTAAAAAAAGGTATTTTTTTACATAAAAAATAACTGTTAATTTAAGTTAATTACATTACAAATTATTTATTTTTTAAATATGTTATTATTTTACACTAGTTGTTTGAATTAAATGTAGATTTTAGTTTATTATGCTGCTGTCTTTAAACTAATTTATCTAATTATATCAGATTCTGCTTTACTTCTATTTTATTAGTTTTTTCTACTTTTTAATTAAGTTATTTTTTTTTACATTTTATTTTATACTAGTAGTTTGAATTAAATGTAGATTTCAGTTTGTTTTTCTATTTTTTGTATTTATTTATACCACCTGCTCAAATAAAGCATTTTACATTTTCTCTTTTTTTACCTTTATTTGTGTATTTCTATAATTTTTTTAATAAAATTTTTTTACTCCAGTTTTCCAAATTAAATGTAGATTTTAGTTTTGTTCTTCTGCATTTATTTATTTTCAACTCGTTGTTCATATTTTGTCTATTTGTTCATTTATTGTATTTTTGTGATCTTCAAGGATTTAAGATTTTTATTCCTACTTAGTGTCTTTTCCTGACACCAACTCAATTGTTTCCAGCAGATCTTTTGTTAATGGCACATTTTTAGTGAATTTTTATTTTTTTTTATTCTCCATGCTAACCTCGTCTATCTCACCGTTTCGTTATTGTACAGTGTTGTCCTTGTTAAATATGAAAAGTGCTCTAAAAATAAAGACAGTTTGGTGAGTCAAAAACTACAATTAGGATATTTAGTTTCATTTTTCCCCCCCAATAAAAATACAAATACAAAATGAATTTGATATTTATGTTAGCAGAAGCTCAGCTACATCAGTAAACATGCATGTGTTGCTCACAGCAGGTCCCAGCAGCACAAACTGTTCCCAAGTCAGTTCATGGCGGTCGCTCAAGTTTTTCCAGGTACGTTTTTCACGGGACGCTTTGCACACAGCGGCCAACGTTTCGCAGCCTGCAGCATTTTAAAGCCGATGATTCTTCATAAATAATGTTCAGTCTTGTTCTCGGTGTCATTTTGTTTCGCTCATGCATCATAATCTGTCGTGCTTCATCATCAACCGGCCCAAATGGTGAGAACAGGGTTGAAGTTTTAGAAAATAAGATAATTAAATCTAATTATATGACTGATTTGGCCATTTTTATTCATATTTATCTATAGAATTTTGTTTTACCCTTTCATGCATGAATTATGATCCTTTGTGTCAGGATTTTTTTCCAAACTGATTTTGATTTTCTTAAGGCATAAAAAAAGTAGGAAAAAAATTTTCCAAAAAATATTTTGTTTTAGGTGATCCATTGTAATTTTCTCCAAATACAAAGTTGTTATTTGAAAAATCTATCAGTAGTATTGTTCTTTAGGGGTTATCTGATGTCACAATATTTTTATTACCTGCCATAGTCGTCTACAGCAGAAGGAGGGACCGGGTCGGTCGGCATGCCTTTTTGTCTGTCGGCCATATTGGATTTAACAAAAATTATTTCTTGCATTTGCAGCTGATGGCCAGTAGTTGATGGTGTATTTTATGACGCATTAGTGTCCACTTCAGTGGTCTGTGTGCATTTGTAACATAAAAATCCACAAGAAGCACAAGAAGATGGCTTTTAGACAGCTGTCCACTGTAGTGACCGCTACGCATGAAAGGGTTAAATACCAAACTCACACAGATAAACAGATGTGTGATGGTTTCAGTTTATTTGTGGGTATGAAAAGGAAAGATGCTGAGGAAGAAAATGACAATGAGTGGCTGTAAAAGTGGTGAACAAACCGGTGAAGGGCTGATTGATCCGCAGTGCCTGCAGGCAGCGGCGCTAATACGCAGCTTTATTGGTCACATCGCAGGGATGCGTTGCCAGTTCTGACCAACATCCATCATCTATACCAGAGGACGGCACATGTTCTGGAACAGGGGTGTTCAAAGTGTGGCCCCAGGGCCATTTGTGGCCCTTGCATGAATTTTGAGTGGCTCCTGACTGCAATTCAAGACAAACGTGACCTTCCAACATCTTTTGAAATTTTTTCTTTTAATAATGGCAAATTTTTATCTTTTTTAGCCAAAAATGTTAAGTACAACACAAAGACTTTTTTCTTTAGTTACCCTTTTTTATCTCATAAAAACATCCAGAGAGTTTTTTACTCAAAAACAGACAAGCATGCCGTTTGGCAACAAAGCAAAGAGATAAATTTATAGAAGAAAATTCTTATTTATGTTACTGGGGATAAACTAAAATGAAAAATAATGGGACCAATTTATTGTGCAGGTGAAAGAAAAATAATTTACAATATTTTTGGGTTTTTAATTGGGGATAAAAACCTAAATGTTCTAAAGTTTGGCCCCTGAATACGTTGAACTTGGGGATTTTGGGCCTTCATGGAAAAGTTTGGACACCCCTGATATAGAGGGGTGTCCTCACATATCGAACCGGTCATGACAACCTCCTCTAGCTGCCTTCATTTTGTGAAGAAGGACACTACTGACCCATTCATTTAAATCATGCGTCCATGGATTTTTTTAATTTAAAGAAATTTTTATTCTGGCTGCAAGAGAGGGAGAGAGAGCAAGACTTCAACAGAAAGGCTGAACACAGTATGTTCTTTTCGTCCATCAACAAAAATCTACCACCAAACATTGATGGAGCTGGAAAAGCCACATCCAGTGGACAACAACCTTTACCCAGAGTTCAATAGGAGAGTGTCAACCTACCACAGACATCTACAGAAAAATAAGCATTAAAAAAGGCTAATCTATAGAAACAAGATGTCAGAGAGTCCCTCCTACACCAATGGTATCCAAACTTTGTAACTAAGTCAAAATTGTCGAGTCAAAATTTCAAAATCTAAAATCAAGCAAATAAGTCAAAAATGTTTGCAGGAAATGGATCTTATTCATTATAGGTCCAAAACCTAAAAGGTATTTTTTGTGTTTGCTGTATTCAAGGAAAAGCATCCAGTTCGCAAATAAATTAGAGTTTGATCAAACAAATTTGTTTTCAGTTACAAGAACAAGATTTGGGTCACTTTCATTCAAAGCTCTTGCTATATTTAGCAAAGTTTAATAAATTAAATAAAAGCTGATTTGGGTGCAACAAAGTCGGCTTTTCAGTAAAAGTTTCTGGATGAACGTGGTTCTACTTGGTTGGTTATAAAAACACAAATACTTTGTACTTTTACCTTAATTTTACCCTGATAACAAATAAAATGTCTCCATCTGAATCAACCACCTGTACTGGTTGGGCTAAATTTGCATCATTCTTGAATTGCAGTTGGGGGCCGCACAAAATAAGTCCAAGGGCCACTAATGGCCCCTGGTAGGAGTGGCTTGTAATTGCATAACGTTTTATCAAGTCCAGAGGACTCCAAAGCTTCACGCTACATTCACACACTGCGCGTTCATTGCATCGTTTGTCATTTATTGTGAAAGATTTATTGATGTCTCGATAAAAAAATTTTTTTTTACTATTTTCTCCACAAACAGTGGATATGGAAATTCTATATAATTAATAACGATCAGTATATATTTTTTAAAAATGGTCAACTACAGTTACTATGTGTAGCTTAAATCACACTTCTTCAGGAAAGTGGCATCCTAAAGAAGACTATTTCAACCTGGCATGTTTTTCAAGAACAGCATTTGTGCTTGTGGCGCTGTGAGCGCTGTGTCATGCAGTCGTAGCCGTACCTAAAGAAGTAATAAATAGTTATTTATTGTCATTTATACCTTTATCACAATACATAGTTCCCACAAATCTGAACCAGAAGTGATCGGCGCCATCTTAGTAGGCAAGTGCAGCACAAAGCATGGCGGACCCATGGCTTCCAGACCAACAATAACAACATATGCAGACACTCTGGACCAAAGTGCAAGAGAAAGATACATGAACAAAATGGCTGCTGTCGTGATCGGCCCGCATGAGATGGAGAAGGAAAACATGTCAGACGATGTGGACAAGCTGCCTCCGATCTCAAACTAAGACAGAGTTAGCCAGTGAACAGGAAGAGTGTGTAAATCTGGGATGCATAGAATCAGTGTTTCAATGAATTTGAAACAATGGGGCAGGAATAACAAGCTTCTGGTGAGCGTCAGAGTGAGTACATGTAGCAACAAACACGTAGGCTACATGTCCATCCTAGCTAGCAGGCTAAAGCTACTAGCTAAGCTAATTTTACTAGTTCGGCAGTAAGTACTACCACATATATCACTGATGCTCATCTTAGTATAACACAGAGGTAGGCAGAATACATAAAAACTGTAATTAAATAATATGTTTTATGTACTTACACTGTTTATAAGTAGTTGTGCGTTCACACCAAATGCTTTTTGAGCATCATGCGAATCTGGTTTACATTCAAAGTCAATGGGTAGGTGTGTCGATGGCCGTGGAGGCACGTTTTGAGCATCTAGTGCAGCGAGATTTGAAACATTTCGACCATTTGTAGCGATCAACGGAGAACGATGTCTAGAGATGACGCGTTTGACGCGCCCTCGACGCGTCTCCACATAGACTTTGAACGTAAATCAGATGCGCGAAACGCTAGGTGTAGAGCAAAATGTCCAACATCTACATTCAAGGTGCACACGCTTTGAACTTGAAGTGTGGGATGCATTTTTGACAAGCGCAACGCTTGTGGTGTGAACGCATCATTAGATAGGAACGAGGCGGGGGCTAGTTTTAAAATTCAAAGT